AGGGGACAAGGCACATGTACCGGAGGCAAACACACACACACATAAACACATATGCAAACAGATACACACTCACACATTGGCTCTCCCAGATTACTTGAACTACCAGAAGCTTTAAGAGGATTTCACTATGGGAGGGTGCTGCACTTGAATCTCATGCACCTGATGGCTATTGATCCATCCTAAGCTTGCACAGAGACACACATGCGAAACAGACACAGTTGTTACTTTTTGTCATTACAAACAAGCTTCTGACCTAGCTTCTTCATTTTTCAGTGTTGCAGGAGCAGTTGGAGGTTCCACTCTGCAGTAGTCTGCTCCTTTGGATTCAGGGCTACAGTACAACACGTAAAAATAGCATAGCCCCAATCTGTCTGAGTGACGGGAGCGAGTTGTTTGGACAGGAAGCATCCAAACGGTAATCCACACCTGTCACTTTCTTTATACAATCCCCTTTTCCATCATAGGACACAATTGCAATAAATGTGTCCATAAACGGTGTAGTCTAGCTCTTGGGCTTATTAGCAATGCTGATGTGAGCGGAAGATTAGAAGGGGAGTGTTGTCTGTAATGGAGACAATGCTGAACAAGTCCCTCAGATAATGTAGGTTGATAAGCAAAAGGTTGCAATCAGCAAGCTGTCATGAGAGAAAGCAGGATAATATCATGTATACTGTTTAGGGAAAGGAAGATACTGATCAGGTTTACATTTGATGGTAACACATTACGTGTTCTTTTGAAAAATCCTTACCTAGAAATGTAGGTTTGATTTACATTTCCTTCTCAGTAAAGATGTTCAAATAGGTCATTGGCCATTTTACTCTATGTCAGTAACCATATCAAGATATAACAAAATATTTACCAAGGAAAAGAGAAGAAGCCCCATAATGTGATTTATTTGTTAAACCACATTTTTGCACATTCTCAACCCTCATAATTTCTTAGTCCACTGGGTCGGAATGAGGATGTTGAGCCCAGAATCAAGAACGAAACCTAATGTTTTATTTATTACTTTTCATAAATATTAATGATTCTTAAACATTAGTGATTCAAGACAAATTTTTAAAATGCCACTATCGTATGTTATTATTGACACTGTTGTTATAATAGATGCCTTCAACAGAGGACACTAAAAGCAGCAATAACTGGCTGACAACATTGTATCCCATCAACTTTCTACCTGAGATTGCATCTGACAAACAATCTATGTCTTTCAAACTACTTGACAAACAGCTGAACTGTGTTAGACCAAAATTTTGCTTTGCAAAGTTTTTAGAACACAGTCAAAGCCTGTTCAATGACCTTGCCGTCATTGAAGTGACAAGTGCATCAACAGATGAATTACATTTGAATCATGGATTCATAGCCTCTACATTTATCTGTTGTGACTGCACAGTAGATGTGTTTTGGAGAGGGGACCAATCATTCTCTGTGCTGAATGAAGGATAAGCTTGTGGATTTTTTCCCCCCCGAGTCCAGTTTTGATTTGGTAATTATGTGTGTATTATGTTTTCAGCCCTGACAAATGGAGTTCTGTAGGTTCCTGCTCAAGGCTGGATTTGGACTCATTTCTTTTAAGTTTATGTGAGAAATAGCTGACTTGTGGCGATATTTGATTTACGCTTTCTATTCTACTTCATAAGTAAAGGAAAAGAAATAGATTTATCACCATGTTATGAAAGTAATATAACAAAATATCATGCATATAAAGCTCATGCTCTCAAAGAGTTTTGTAGCTGGAATATTTTTTCTTTATCCCTCCCAGATGTAGCATGTTTCTCTGAGGAAAGCAGGAGCAGCGCACCTAACTGACAATCATGAGAAAGGGTGCGTTTTTTGTTTTTTTTTCTTAGCACATTTTAATTAAGGCTGACATTAGCTAATTCAAAACATGCATTGCTAGTCTCTCTCGGGTCTCTCTCGGCTCTTTCATTTGCTGGTGTTGAGCCAATGTGTCTGTGATTATAAGACCAGCCATGCTTTAACCACATCTGGACACTGGTGGGACTTCCCTGCTTCTGGGCTATCATTACAGATGATCACTTGATGACAGCGAATCTAAAGCACTACTTAGCAGCTCTGAACATTCTTTATTTTTTTTAAAATTTGCTCTGCTTTTTTTTCATTCATCTGCTTTTTATCCTCTTGTCCCCCTTTCCTGGACCAAACCAATGGTGTGTGAGCCATCTGTTTCCAGATTCAGAAATATCCTGCTGGTTGCAGAATTAAAGGCTGTGGAAATCTTTTTGAAGCATTTTTTTGAGAGGGAAGCAGTGACATTTCTCACTGCTCTCTTTACAAGAGAAGGCAAATGTGAGACATGGACCAAAGGCTCTCTATGAAACAAATTTGGTTTCTAAGATCCCCTATATGCTATAGATGATCTTTTAGGAAGATGCTATACAACTGACATGTGGTGGAGGAGATTTTAATTGCTCTGGAGAGCTCAGGCTTTTTAGTCATCAAGCTGTTATTCAAATAACAGTTTTGCAATGTAAATATGTCAGGAACATAATCAGCTGTTTTACATCATTTCAGATCCTCAGCTGTTTCATGTCTTTCCATCTGAGACGTTTTTTTTTTTTTTTTTTTTTTTACATGAAGAAATATCAAGAGACAGAAATAGAAAGACAGACACAGAGGAAGTGAAGATGATTTTTAGTAGAGAGGCACGCAGCAGGAAGCAGGCTGCTGTCTCCTTGTCCAATGCCCTTGGAGTGCAGCTTTGTGGTGTGAACTCCCATAAGACCTCTCTTTGTTCTCAGAAGATGAGGGCTGGCAGAGTGTGACCGTGCACTTACACCTGAAGCCATCAAAAGCAGAGGGAATAACACTTTTACGCCATACGATGCCTCTGCTCTTATCCCCCAGTGTTCGTGGCCACAAACAGGCCAAGAGGTCCCGGGGGAAATACTATGCACCTTCACACACATGCAAAGAAACCAACTGTCAGTCAACAGCAGCCCCAAATCTGCATGTGCAGATACATAAATGGCAATTTGAATGTCAGATTTTCATCTTGTTTGACTGCATAGTTTGACATTTACATCAAAGGAATGTGAGATGTCTTCTACAACTGAAAATCCCAGCGCTAATTATCGAGATTAATTTAGGAGCTGTTACACAAGGAATATTGAAATATTGATTAAGGCGATGACAGGAAATCAATGCCAGATTAATTACACTCTGGGCCACCAAAGACAACACTGTTTTGTTTCAGTGGCATATCACCTCCGTGAAAGCCTTGCTACAGTATCTCTGTCACTGACAGGCAAACTACAATAACACATCTGCGTTTGTGTGTCAGCTAATAAAATCCAGTGAAAAGTAACAGGAGTAAAAACCTTGTAGATAAGACAGAATATCAGTCTAAAAGCAACGTGTCCTATATCCTGTGTCCCACATCTTTCTCTCAGAGGAGCAGGGGTAGATAACACAGAGGAGTGAGAGTGTCAGGCGGACGAGAGGGAAAGGTAGGGGCCACTGTTGTGGACATGTCCGCAGCAACAGAGCTGTGGGTGTGTGACAGCAAGCATTTTGCAATTATCAATTAATAAATTATTTTTTCTATTAAACCCCCCACCAGTGCAAAAATGCTTTTTATTATTTTTTACTTGAGTTGGATGTCCAAGCTTCACTGTGAAGAATAAAAGGATTTTTAAGGTAATAGCCTATAACTTAATATGTGACATATATTATTATTCAAAGCATTTTTTATTTATCTTAAAAGAAGTCCGGAAGGGATGCCTATTTGTTTGGTCTATAAAATGTCAGAAAATAGTCAAAAATGCTAGTCACAATTTCCCAAAGTCCAAGAGGACATCTTAAAAATGTTTTTTTTTATTTATTCCTGTCCAAAACTCAAAGGGATTCTGTTTACATTAATATAAAACAGAGACAAGCAGCAAGCCCTCACATTTTAGAATTCAGAGAATAGTTTGTCTTAATCATTGAGAGAAATGATTATTAGATTGTCGATTGATTAATCAATTAAGGCCTAATACAGCAATAGCTCTTTGCACTTATTTTTTGCCATAAAACATTTGCTTTGATGCTTCTCTCTGGCCAGGCTGGTCTTTCATAAAGCACTGCTTCTTTTTCTTTTTGTCTCAGAATTTGGTAAGCTGCCAAATACTTCTCCGTTTGCGTTTTCGCTACACCCCATTCTTTCCCCTCTCTCTTTGTTTACCTGTCACACTGTAGCTGTAGTTAGATCAGTGAATATAACAGCTGAGAGCGAGAGAGGGAGAGGGAGCCAGGGAGGAGAACAGGAGGCATGCGAGTGTCCTAGTAGCATGGTGGAGTGCTGGACTTTGGCATGGGCCATCCATCTGTCACTTTCTTACACTCCTCCCTGGTACTGACGGGTCATGGCAATGGCAGCCTGTGACGGATGACTAATCTTCCCCTGGTAATGAATGAGACACCACCCCCTGAATGCCAAGAGGGTGCTGATGGTAAGGGTGGCTGTCTCATTGGCAATACAGAAATCATTATGATGAATGGTATGTAAGCATGTTATCCCATGTCTGTGCCAGCCTGCGAAATGGGCTACAGTACCTGCCAGTTTAGGAGAATCTCTAGTGAGAATCTCATGAATCGTGGTCTGAAAACATTGATATACAGAACATCTATTAATTCTGCCTCCTTCCCTCTCATTTAATGCATGTGTGTGAGTGTAGGAGTCAGGAAAAGGAAGAGCATAAATGAACCAGTAAATGTAAAAAAAATTAGATTGCACAGAGTGTAATGATGGAAACAGGGCATGTGTAGGTGGGAAAGAAAAGAGGACATTGCTATTATGGATGATGCATGCACTGTCCTGTTAGATGGGAGAGGGACGCTCTGCAGCCGCACCAGTCAAATCGTCTTGACTGTGTGTTGAGTAGCTGAGACCTGTCTTATCTTCACCTCATAATGCGCAGGCGTGATCCTATCTGAGCCCAGCAAAAAGCTGTTACCATCTGAACTAGACGTCGTGTGCGCGGCTCTTCATGTGGCGCTCCAGCCGATGCTAAAAAAATTGTATTTTTGATATATTTGTCTTACAGATCGCGTGCAAAGACAGCCCGGACATGAATGTTTCTTTGGAGGCTGATCTCACCGAACAACACAATCCAACCTGTGGATAGTGAGGAGCGCGCCTGTGGCCACCGGCCAGTCTCCGCTATCTGGGACGCTCTGCCTCCAGCCCGCTGTGCGCGTCTTTTTTTTTCCCCACCGTTGGCTCCGGTCTGTGTCGGCGGGGGGATCCGGTGTTCCGTTTGACCTAAGCTGTGAGCAGGTATTCAGTTTATGAATGGCACTGGCATGGAGGAAATACCGTTTCAGAAAGTCAAAACCAGGCGGAAGAGAAGTCACTGCCCACCGGGCGTCCCTTTGACCACCATCGTATGTGAGGACGAGTTCGACTGCAAGGAGCTCGAGTCCCTCTTCCAGAACTACAACCTGAAGCTGGAGCAGACGTCCACCCTCAAAGCCCTGGCCGTGCTCATCTTCATGTCCTCGACACTGGCCGTGGTGGAGTTGCTGTCCGGCCCCAGCCTCACCATCTCCAAGGGGTCCCATCCGGTCCACTGTGTCATCTTCGTCTCCCTGTTCATCGTAACTAATGTCAAGTACCTGCAAGTGACTCAGCTCCAACAGATTGTCAACCTGACGCTGCTCTTCGGCTTCACTTTCTCTTTCCTCTGCTGCCCCTTCTCCCTGGGCGCGATGGGGATGGAGCCGCCGACGTCCCCGGAGCAAGGCATGTGGCAGCTCATCCTGGTCACCTTCGTCGCCTACGCGCTCCTACCTGTGCGGACACTCTTGGCTGTTGTGTTTGGAATAATGGTCTCCATCTCGCATTTGATTGTGACTGCCACTTCAGTCACAGTGAAAACACAGAAACTGTGGAGATCGGTAAGTATATGCTACACACTATGATCACGGTGCCTTTAGTGTATCTATACTTTCCCTATTACTAGGCCTGTAATCATCACCATAATACAACATCATCTACATCCACATACACATCCAGCATAATATAATATAACATGACATAGGCCCATGCAGTGAAACACACGATTTAGACTCCAGTTCAGCACCAAGGACAGTTCCCTGTGGTTAGACTTGATAGGATTTGCTCAGGCTTGGATCAAATTTGACAAAAGTGTAATTCTGCCACGACCTGTTTTGGTTGCAAAAAAAAAAAAAGAAAAAAAGAAAAGCTAGTTCATGTCAACTCAGCCATAAAGCACAATTTTAGATGTAGATGCTTGGTCCTAACTTGTGGTGGACAAACACAAAGTGAGACTGTGTGAATCTCTGCTTGAATACATATAAAGGTATCACCTGGAAGTGATTTTACATAGCTTATTGACGGAGTTTGTAAAGTAGTACTAGATAGCTGTGATGATACATACCTGTAGGGCCAGAAAAAGGAAAACAAAGAAAGAAAGGGGGGGGGGGTGAATGTGCATAGCATTGTGTCTGCCCATGACTGTTTCCCTGGGGATATGATTCAGCCCTAAAGGAGCAGGCTGGGAATGAAGAACCAGAGTGACATCCTGCTAGCACCAGAAGTAGGGCAAATCGGAGGGACACACACACACACACACACACACACACACCACACTTTCACCACACTATATGCTTCAGTTGTGAAAAAGAGGGCAAAGTCATGCATGTCATTTGAGAGCTGAAATGAAAATTGGTACACCTCTCCCTGCACATTTATATCTTTGTACCTTTTTCTGTCACAATGAATACACACACATAACACACACCCGTGCACGCTCACATTTCTGACTGTCATCAGGTGTGAGGCAAGAAGATATGTCACATCAGTCAAACCCTCCAGGGGTGATGGAACCTTTCTGCCTCCATGCAACATGTGACATGAAGATTGTGCATTTCTTGGGAAAAGGAAATTGAGATTTGATCAGTTCATCACGCCGTCGGATGATGACAGCTTATTTGCAGAGGAGATTGTTTTCCCTGTACGTAGGCTATGAGATACCTGCGTAGCCATGTGAAGGACAGTGTTAGCTGTACTACCAGAGATAGCTAATCCATTAAGCTTAGAGATGAGCTGCATGGCATGACCCTGCGCAACCCAGGCTCGCACCAACCACCCACCTAGGTCCCAGGCACTCAGCCTACAGTACTGTCTGCTTTCATGGCTCAGTCTCTCTGAAATATCTTATTACTGAAGCGAATATGGAATATAACTTGAAAAATAGGTTATTACTAGTTCCCTATACAGCTGTGAGTCTTGTTGTCGTGTTCTGTAATAGCTGAACATATTGTAAATGTTGTCTGCCGAGAACATAGACTCATTGGCATTAGTTGACAACCTTGCATCTCTATACAGCTTGAACACCAAACACATTTTGCATTAGCACATTTACACCATATTAATCCAATAATTGTAACGGAAACAAAGTAATCAATCTCAGGGAGCATGTCTTCCATTAACATCAAATGCAACAGTGATGACATGCATATTAAAAGGAAGCCCTGTATTTTCAAGTGTGTATGGCAATACGACGTTACAGGTTTACAATGACACCTTGAAAAGTCAAGGCTGTAATTTCCTCACTGTGTAAAACTATGGGTGAGATACCTGCCAGAGAGAGTACAGTGCAATAAGGTCAGTAAGCTGGCAAGGCAAGGCAAATTGGGGTTATCACCGCCGATAAGCAGAGGAGTGAGTGTCGTACACCACTTAACTCCGATGTCTACATGTACTCACTGGAGGCTACAAAGTAACTTGAGCGTCATTTGAACATGTTGATGCTTGCCAGCACTTCTGCCAAGCACAAAGACTGACTACTGCTGCTGCCAAGACCAGTCTTTTCGAGGCAATCTATTATTCATTGGACTGGAAAACATGCCAGTGTGTGGTGTTGGATGTGTGTTAAGTTTGAAAAAATTGTGTGTATATCATATGACATTTATGATGCAACATAAATGCCCTGAAAGGACCCGATATTCCTTAAAAGTAAAGGATAATGTAATTTGTTATAGCTTTTCCTGAGGTCAAATCCACTGTAGAAAACACTAATGATGAATGGCCTAAGATATGAAGAGAATGAATTCCTTTATTTTTATGAATATATAATTATTGCCCAGGGTGACAGCTTGCTTGTGTGCGTGCTAGAGGTGAATATAGGACCTTGTTTGGTTTGTGTACAAAGTCATAGCCAGCCAACCTCGGTCATGTAGGAAAAAAAAAAAAGCTCTCTTTTCTTTGTGTCCTGCACAAGGTTGAAGCAGTCATGCTGCTGTGCATCTGATGTGACGGATGAACCAGAGCACTGATTCTCAAAAGTTTTAATGTCACAGACGCCCAAAATAGAGAAATATTATGCCCTGCCACCCTCTCACCCACCTCTCATATGTCGGGACGTTTGTTGGGCTTGACTTAGTTTCTATACATGTTCATGCATGTGGGAATCAAAGTGGTGGAAAGAAAAAATCTGTGTGATTGTTATATATCATATATTATATAGTATATATATATATATATATATATATATTTAATGGGATAGTTTATAGTGAATTTATTTTATTTCGGTCAGCTCAATACTGACAATCTAATGTGCTTTCAGGCAGGTTTCAAGCAATTGTATGCAGCAGCTAACCACCCAGATACAGAACAGGCACACACTCAATAGATAGGAAAAGACAGAGGGAACTCAAACACAATTGATGACAAAACAAAAAATAATCTAAGACTGTACACAAAAACACATGGAATTTGTAATAAATACATTAGTAAGTTACAAGTAAATATAAATATGAAAAAAAAACTATCTAAAAGATATACAAGGTACTGTGGCTGTAAAAAAAAAAGCATAAAATTGTAAAATATGAGGAATTGAGAGGACAGATTTAATTCTACACTTAAACCTCTTTAGGCCCATTCAATGTTCCTAAGGTCCTAATATTTGAGACGCACTTTCAACGTCGCAAATGTACATGCCTATGTGTATATACAGTACACATAAGAAGGCATCGTGCACTAATACACACAGACAAACATACAAATGTAGAATAATGAGCAAATGACATAATCATGATTTGATTATGAAATTAATATGAAAATACAAATTCTCTTTGTTCTCATAATTTTTAAGCACATAAAAACAGTAAAAACCAAACACAAGCTGGTAAACAGTCATAACATTCACCACAACTCTTAATTATTTCCTTATAGGCCACTGCATGTGTTTTTAACAACTCTACTGAAGAATTTAAACAACGTATCATGTTTTTTTTCTGTTTGCAGTTGGTTGCCAACACAGTGCTGTTCACCAGTGTCAACCTGTCAGGGCTGTTTGTGCGCATCCTGACAGAACGAGCCCAGAGGAAGGCCTTCCTGCAGGCTCGCAACTGCATTGAAGAGAGACTCCGCATGGAGGATGAGAATGAGAAGCAGGTACAGGCACCCGTACACTGCTGAAACTATGGGTAAAATTAGATGTGTGTCTATGTCTTTTTTTTCTTCTTATTCCCCAATCTCTCTCTCTCTCTCTCTCTCTCTCTCTCTCTCTCTCTCTCTCTCTCTCGTGCTGAGAGTCATTTTGACACATTATTCATTTCTGTTATATTTCATACCTTTTTGTCTGGCACATTTCTTATCGCTACTAACACTTTGTCCTATGATAACTTTGCTGTGTTTGATTGTATAAATGTATATTTAAACTTACTTTATTTTTCTCTTTTTCTCCCTCTCTATCTCTTTATTACACATCTATGTGCACACACACACACACACACACACACACACACACTCAGGAGCGCCTGCTAATGAGTCTGTTGCCCAGGAACGTAGCTATGGAGATGAAAGAGGATTTCCTGAAGCCCCCAGAAAGGATCTTTCACAAAATCTACATCCAGCGCCATGACAATGTCAGGTAGGATCCTCACATCAACCCACCACAGCTGTGAATCAGTCACAGTGATATTTAAAGTCCTCTTAGCTGTGAATTGAATTAACTAATTCTACTTTTAACAGTAGCATTTGGAGATACTCCATTCTCCTCATGGGATAATTTCCATCTGAAATAGTGGAATAAATGCTGTCTCAGTGAATTACAGCGCGTGCTATAAAGGAGCTGAATAACTTGACCAAACATGTCCTTTGGAAAGAGCACTGAAGGCTACACAATCTAGTGTGATCTGACCCAACAGCATCCTGAAACATTAACACAGCTCCAGGCTGCAAAAGCTGAAATATTTAATTCTTCACACTGAATATCAAGGGTTAGCCCCTGACTCACTTGTTTATTATCAGTCCAGATAACACTGAAATCATGACAAAGATATGTGTTAGATATATATATAAAATACATTTTGGAGCAATGATAGAGTAGTGCTACATGAGCTACAAGGAAATAATTCAACATCTACTGATATCAAGGTCATAATCTGATCATAGTTGTGTTGTGCTAAGGCTTATATGCCAGTGGCCAACTCCTGGGCTGTCACACTGCAGCAGCCCCCAGGAGCAACAAGGTTAGGGTTCCTTCTAGGGAGGATGCAATGCTAAGTGAGGAGGAGATTCCTCTGGCACTTTTGTTGTGTCCTACGTGGTTGTCAAGCTCCCAAGTGTTTGGGAGCAATGTGCTCTTCTTTTAAGTCATTACTTTTTGCCACAGATTAATGGCTGTTGAACCCCATGTTCACTGAAATAGGTGACAAATGAGTCCTCATTAATTGGCATGTGACCTATTTAACAATAGGCAAATGTCATTTCTGTACATATTTTGAATTTCCAAAAAATTCAATATACGTACATATAAAATAAAAACATAACATAGCTAATTTTCACTTCTTAATATTCTACTGAGTAGTTTACCCCAACAGATTCTGTAGGTAACTACAGCTGTCACTTAAAAATGTTGTAGTGGAGTAAAAAGTACCTGCCTCTGAAGTGAAATGGAGTGGAAGTATGAAGTTGCATCAAATGGAAATACTCCAGTTGTGTACATATAGCTCTGATTTTTGCTCAAGCACAGTGCTTGGTTACAATCCACCAGTGCAAATTTGTATCTTGCTCGTGCGCCTCTTTCCCTCCTGACTCCTGCAGGCGTAGTTAGCTGTGATTGACCATTTAACCCGTTGTCAGAAAAATGTAAACAGTAGGTTTGAAGATGCCGACGTTCACTGTGCCATTCTCTGCAGTCTCTAAAGTCAGATTGCTTTAGTTCCTCTTCTCATCACACCTTGTTGGTCTGTGTCTCTTGCTGTATTGTTAAAGCCCCGTCATCATGCTCCAACATTTCCGTGTTCCCTTTTCTTATCTTCTCCTCTTCCTCCTTCCCTCTGTGTTCTCAGAGCAGCAGGGAGGCTTGAGCAGGAGAGTTTGCTTAGCCCCAGGATTAAGTTGCTACAGGGGATTAAATGCAATGGAGACTAAATTCTGGTTGCATAACGCTGTGTGTGTGTGTGCGTGTGCGTGCGTGTGTGTGCGTGTGTGTGTGTGTGTGTGTGTGTGTGTGTGTGTGTGTGTATGTGTGTGTGTGTGCGCTTGCGGTGGTCAAATATGGACACATCTCAGTGGAGCTCTGCTGATTGCTTTTCTGCCTTGAACTCCTTCAGATAGCGCCACCCTTTGAGCGTGATCTAGACTGGATGCAGGCGTGATTTATGTGATTTGGGTGGACTGTAATTAGAAAGTAAACAGTGTGCAGCACAATTTACTCTGAGTTTTCTCCATTATGTTCTGAGACTGTGGGCAGTGTTTGATCTGATTAAAATCCAACCTGGGGGGATATTGTAGTAATCAGTCACTAAAAAAGGAATGCGACTCCAAAAGTATCAAACCTAAAGCCACATACTGACATAAACTTTCATTGATTAGGAGATTAGGAGTTGAAGTAAGGTAACCGATATGATAATGATGATTCTTGAGCTGGAAACAGCAGTGATTTCTGTAAGGAAAGAACATTTTTAAAGCAACAGTAATTAAATAGTTTCTTAATTTATCACGTCACTTATAATAGATTGCATTATTATTATTTAAATGATGAATAATGTGAAAACAGTGATGAATTATGAGCATGCACTGTTTAATATCACATTTGCTCTTTTAATTAAACAGCTTTCAGATTTATCATCATTTATGGTTTAGCACTCTCTTGAATGCAACATGCATTTTCGCTACTCTTTGTTTTTTTTAATTCTCAAGCATTTCCATCATGTTTATATCATTTAATTCCACCCCCTCCAACCAACCCCACACACACACAGTACAGTAAACATACACAAAATACTAGTTAAAGACAAATTCCCGTCAGTAAAGGCGCCTTACTGAGGAGATGTGATGTTGCTCAGGTGACAATGTAGTAGTAGTAATGAAATGATTCTTGTGAAGGATGAGTTCCTACATTGAATGAGGTCACTGAGAAAAATGTAAAAAAAAAAAAAAAAAAAAAAAAAAAAAAAAAAAAAAAAAATCTAAATTTCATAGATGACCTACTTGGGTCACTGACAGGAGGTCTCGTAATGTTTGCAGATGCTCATTCACTCCAAAGAAATTACAGTTCATCCCTCAAAAATACGTTGTAAGCACCTTTGGCTCTCTTCTGTGTTGCCCCCTTTGTTTGCCCCGACGTCAGCACATCCACTGCCCACATACTGTCGCTCCAGTGGGGCCCATCCAAAGTTAACCCTTGAGTTGCCATGTGGCTTGTGTCTTCCGCTATGTGATTACATTTTAAATCACATCTGCCAAAATAGCTGCACCGTAAGGCCTTCCACAGAGGGAAACAGGAGATTAGCATAACTGGGGGGGGGGTAACTTTCCTCAAATATGTGCCACTGGAGAGGAAAAGGTGGATGAGCATGTGAGAGGAGGTTGAATCAGACGATATGAGATATTAGCCAAGTTACCACAGGAATAATCATGTTTGTATTAACGTGGCTTACTCATGTGAACTGTAGCGCTTTTGTCTGCTGTAGATGATGAGTTGAGTGAGTCAGAGGCTTGAGTTGGGGATGAGCTTTCTGACCTGGAGCAGTGAGTATAGTACAGTAGGTGTGGTGGAGGAAAATGCTGAGTCTAGAGTAACTTATAGCCGCTGCCAAGAGTGCTGCATCGCTTTATTTTGAAGATTTTGCCGGAGGACATTCAAAATCAGATACAGAAGTTCCCCCGATGAAATCCACAGTCTGCAACCTCTGTGCTTTTCAGTCGTCCAACTCATAAAAGCACGAGTTGCTTTGAGGTTTGAGTTCACTCAATGAAAACTATTTTTAACAGCTGCAAATTCCGTGTCAAATATCTACCTACACAAGTAGGTACAGCAACCTACCTACACAAAGTCCACTAGTTTACTTAAAGTGTTTGTGACTATAAATGCAGCTTAACACTTCAGTTCACTTTTAGATGTATGAATTTAAATCATGTTATGCAAGTAAAGCTGTGCAGTTAAAAGTAAGCCCCAGATTTCAGTGATCTATGAACTGCATGTTCAGCACACACCCGACACTCATATTTATATTTGTCTTTATGATTTAGTTTGCCTGTCCTAGCACTCGTGGATACGGTTACTAATTACTGAATGAGCTCGTGTGTTCTCCTTTTGAATGCACATCCCTGGATTTATGTACCTCTGTGACATACTGAGCGGAATAAGTTGCATGTTGGTAAGGTAATTAATCATAAACATTATTTATGAGCTGAATATGCAGTTGCTAACAGGAACACTTGTGGCTTATTTTGAATTTGCCTTTGGACCTATATTACATGCTGATCCGTCACCACTAACGCGGTGCAGTGTTTACAGAGTGTGCCACCATAAATACATAACAATATAGATTCCTGTGTCTTTGTAAAGCTTGGACTGAGGTATCTCGTTCACGTTTTTCTATGGAGGACACTGATTTAAATAAGTCTTCCGCATACTGCATCTTCAGTGGTGCATTAGAAAGCTGACCCGGGCTTTGTATGGAACACACACCACATGCCCTGTGGTGTGCATGTGGTTGAAATGAAGTAAACAAAGCCAAAAATAGCCGAGTTCCGTAAAAGATCACATGAGGTCATGAGATATTTGGCACCATGCACTCAGTGGGATGCTCTGCAGCACAAACATGGCAGGTTAATGTTTCATGCACAGGGACATGTACAGTAGTAGCAAGAAAAATCTTTTTTCGTTTTTGTTCAGGAAATTTTCTGCCTTAATCCTCCTACAAAAACACAACCGAACCTTGCCTTTTTGAGGGATGTGGATATGAAAGTATTAGAGAATGTGGAGTTAAACAACTAGAAGGTCATTCCGAGAGCACAAACATCTGCCAAGGCCAATGTCAAACAAGATGCACCCGACTTCAGAGAAAAGAAATTCAAATTCATAGTATATTATCCACATCTGCCCCAAAATATATGCCCCACCCCCCCTCCACCACATTTGGTGCAAATCAGTTCAGTACTTTTTGCGTAATCCTGCTGATAAACAAACGGACACGAGTGAAAACATAACCTCCTTGGCAGAGGTAAAAAAATATCTTGCAAAAGAGCACTTGAATTAAAAGCATGCAGTCATCATGAGAATGTAGAAATGCCACAGTCTGCTGCTTCCACACACATAACATGAATCAAATATGAACGGAGACACACAGTATGTCACTTTGCAGGAGTCTGTTAGCAGCCATAGTAGGGATTGTTCTAAAAAGTGTGTAGAGGGCTAAACTATCACATCAGAGAGAGACACAATATACAGTAACTCTACTACTCCAGGCAGATGTTGTAGTGCTTTAAAACCAGGCATCTGAAAGAATCAGCCAAGCCCTTTTATAGCGATATATGGGGTCTCTGTTTAATTCCTCACAGTTAGACATATTAGCCTTAACCTGTCTTTTAGCAAGACGACGTATTTTACTCTCATGGAAATCTCCTAAGGCTCCATCTATTTCTCTGTTGCTTATGGATGTCATGTATTTTCCTAAAATAGAACAGATAATGTTCTCTGTGAAAGGCACCTCAGCAGAATTTTTTCATAAATGGAACTCTTTCATAGAATACTTCAGCTCCCTGACTGGGGGTCCCACCACCGCCGCCACCACCTACACTCCCTCCCCGACCCGATTTCTTTCACTTATTCCATATTTATTTATTTTTTCTTAGGCTCTTTATATAATTTTCCTGTTGTATTTTCTATATAATTGGTATATTTATTTATACATTATAATTTATTATTATTTATTAGTATATTATTATTTGTTGTAATTTTCTATACAGAGATTGTGTTTGTGTATGCTTGACCTCAAGGCCTTCTTTGAGGGCCTGGGGGATGTTCCTGCTATAAAAAAAAAAAAAAAAGGGGGAAACACTTATAATCATATATTTCTATATGCGTTGTTGTATCTCGAATTAAAAAAAAAAAAAAAATCAGAATCTGATTATCTGCATTGTTAGTCGTAAGGAAAATTAGTCCGCTAGGGTTAATAGCCACCTGTCTATATAAAGATACGAGTCAATGAGTGATCAGCTTCAAATCTAACAACATGATTTCATAGCGTAGCTTGCAGCCTTCCTCTCTTCACTCAGTTGCTCTGCTCTGTTAAGTATGACATTCGTATTCGCAATAAAGAAAACTGATTTCTCGTGAGAAGCTGAATGAATTAAAGACTGGGACTCTGACAAAAATAAAAGTAGTGGTAGTTCAAATCAGTGGGACAGTGATGTGATGATTCATTTTACATTTCAGTCCAGTTTAAGCTTGATGAAAGGTGGTTAATTCAAAACAATTTACAAGAAAAAACAGAAACTGTTTCGAGTCCAGAGCAAGTCATGAAACTGAATTTGTTTTGTAAGTTTGAGGGATAAATAACTGGGCATGTGTTGTGTAGGCTGATCAGTCAAAATCAATTGGTTGTTTATCCAGCTCTTTGCTCTATTGTTGGGTAATTCACTGCACAAATGAAAGATGCTTCAAATGTATCCATGCTGTGATTACGTGTTTAATTTTTGCCCACGGATCTGAAATATATTATTGCATCAAGTGCAGCCTTTTTCAGAGTTTTAGCGAATTCAACTTTAAGTGTTTACGCTAACACAGTATTTAACGTTCCAAATATTTGTCACCCACAGATGGTTGCCAATTAAAACATTCACACAATTTGAATCCATCGCCGCTCATTACGGTGACATCTGTGAGACAACAAAATGACATTTAGCAGCTCCCCCTTAGAGATCCAGCACTCTGTCACATTGTGAAAACTCCAGCCCACATGAAGACGGCAGTCTGCCGTCAGTGCGAGAGCCGCAGACATTCAAGTTGTTCAGGACAGTCAGAGTTTGATGAGTAATCCCCTTCACACCCTCTGTTGGCACACAGCACTCAGGGCAAATCCTTCACAGGAAAAGTTCCTGTTCTGCTCTGATGCAGATTGATAATGAGTCGGTCTCCCAGGGGAACGAGGACCATATTAAGAGTTTTCAACACCAGTAACCTTTCCTCCCGGGGTGCATTGTCAAGCTATAGTGAAACATGATGAGTAAGCACAAATCACATGCTTCAGGTATATAAAAAGTGGAAATAATGTTTGCCAACTCTTTAATGCAAAGATTGAAGTTGAGCCAATGTTTGAAATGTTCACACTCTTTGTGTAAAATGAAACGACAGCTGCGCAGAATTTTACATTTTTGTGGACATATTTGTGGAAACAGTGTCTCGGAGTCAGACCTCTGGGGCAATGGTGAACTGACATTTGAAGGCCAGCGTTGAAATTTCTGTGTTGTACTAGCGACTGGAGCGCGCCATATCCCTGTAGTCTACGAATGTTGATACGAGACAGTGTTTCCCCATTTTAAATTTTTTGATTAAAGACATCTGACGCCTTGTGCTGTTCTTGTTAGTGTTAGCTGTCTCTCTTTCATGGTTTATTTCATGGTCCTGTGGTAGTGGCGGCCAATAATAATAAGACTGCGAAAACTACAGCTATGGGTAACGGGTAGTCCTGTAACCTCACTTCTCCATATGTTACACTCTCATTCAGCCTCAAACTCACAGCAGGTTAACTGCCCGTGTCGCTGCTGGAACAGATACCAAATTACAATCTGTCAGGACCAAAGATTCTAGGTAGAAAAATGAATAAAAGTTCAATTTCTTCTCCTTGCTAATTCAAATTTTGAACGCATGAGTGCAAATGTCAAAACAAACAGCAATGATACAAACGATGAATTACTTATAAATTCAACTTTAATACCTCAAGCACTACCAGTCGTATATAGCCTACCAACTTTCTGGAGGGAATACAAGTTCACTTGGAGATAGTGACAGCAGCTTGATGGTTGCATTATATCCTAGAATGGCTCTTCTCCAGCTCCCTAACAGGACATGTCTCCACCTTGATCCCCGTGAGAATGCTCTGTGCTTCTATTTTGAGTCGCTCTGCTTGACTGTGCTGCCAGTCAGTTAGAGAACGGAACAGACTCTCTCTCTCTCTCTCTTTCCCTCTCTCTCTCTTTCCCTCTCTCTGTTTTATTTTATTTTTTTCCTGCTGCAGGTCATTAATTTGAACGTTTGATTAGCTCGCCGCAAACACATTATCCAACGAGAATGTATAAATTGACTTTGGCTCGGTGCTTCCTAAATACCATTTTAAACAAATTCCTGAAAGCTAATCTGATCAGGCACCCAATAATCTTGTTTTGTTGATACAGTATAACATGCTGCTATAAATAACCTGCATTGACTCAATGGCGTCTTTTCTCTCTCTGTTACAGCATCCTGTTTGCAGATATAGTTGGTTTCACCAGCCTGGCCTCCCAGTGTACAGCCCAGGAGCTGGTTAAACTACTAAATGAGCTTTTTGGAAAGTTTGATGAGCTTGCCACGGTGAGTCTGCTTCCCTTTCTTGAACAAATATCCCTCAATTACAGTCATTGTTGGCATAAAAAGCTGCTCATTTTCCTGTGTGTACACAAACCTTGACACCGCAAAGCTGTGTGTGTGTGTGTGTGTGTGTGTGTGTGTGTGCGTGTGTGTGTGTGTGTGTGTGTGTGTGTGTGTGCGTGTGTGTGTGTGTGTGTGTGTGTGTGTGTGTGCGTGTGTGTGTGTGTGTGTGTGTGTGTGTGTGTGCGTGTGTGTGTGTGTGTGTGTGTGTGTGTGTGTGTCCTGCTTTGGCCACAGGCTGCTGGCACATGCCACTGTTGTACCAGCTTAGCATGATGTCACAGTGAATACTGGAAGCCCATATGATGCTTAATATGATTATCCGCCGCTTCATTTGAGGAAGAGTTGACAGACCTTTTTAATCTAGGCCAGATTTACCCAGGGCTAAACCTCGCCACCACTCTGGCTGTGTGAATGAACTGAATGAAAGCGACCACTGAGTTGCACTTGTCCCAATCACACTTGGTTGGCATGTGGAAAAGATTTCAGCTTCCCCATCTGTCAATATTTCACTCTTTCTTGATTTTCCATGCCGGAAATCCGCTCAACTTTTGCTGCGAGTTTGACCGCTGCAGTTAAACTAGTCGCTTTGAAATATGACGTTGTCAGTACTGGTGTTACAAAAAATCTTCTTCAGGTGCTTTTACTATAAGTCTTATGGATCAGAATAAACACAATGTTTACAAAAAAAAAAAAAAAGTATTCTTCCTTCTCCTGCAGTGTGAGTTTGGCTGACGCATGCAGTATATTTGTTTGGTGAGAAGGTCCTGAGCCCCTGCAGATCACCCTGCCACAGCCTTATCTACATGTAATCTGGCCTCTATTACTTACACTAGGCACATGCCCTTGTCAAATCCATTAATCCATAGGATTACAACTAACCCTTTTTTGCTTTCATAGAAGGTTTTACTTGGCTGTGTTAAGAGGTTCTATTTTTAACTTGTTTGTTTACACTGCACAAAATTAGAACTGGCTAAAAAAGAGAGTGCTTCTTATTTGACTTGTTATTGTCAAATAATTGTCATTGCCTTTCCAATTAAAGGTGGATCAGTTGCTTTACCTGGCTGTTGCAGTTTAGTATGTCAGCCACAGTCCGTCTTTATCTTACGGAAAGTTGCATTTTACGATGATTCCATGCCTTACAATACACACACACACACACACACACACAGACACACTCACTTATAAGTCTATTCATTGCAACAAGTCAATGCACTTTAATTCAAGGTTTTTTCCCTTTAATTTCAAAGTTGCTTCATTTAATTTAGCTTCGGATGATACAGTTTCACTTTCATCTCCCAAAGTCGTTTGGCTAGAAGAGACGCTGTCTTGAGCTACGTCAGTTTTCTTGCTGTTGTGATTTGAGCTGTCTCATTCTTTTAGTTACAACTGAATAGATTGGTCTGATCTCCGCTTTGCTGCTGGCTGGGAGCCTCATATTACACTGAAAGGCTGTCCCCAGCCATGAAACTTGTCATCAAATGTTCTAGCCTTGCCCTGACCCAAAGCCCCACTCATTCTGATCCACTTTGGCAGGAAGTGGCAGTGCCAGTGACTCATAGTTGTGGTCACTGTGGGCACGCAGACTCTTCTCGTTCCATCCGAGGAGCGGGCGATGCCACATGGCCACTGGTTATCATCTCATAATACCATTCCAGCACCATCCCCACACCACCTGTCCACTCTTTGGACTTGTCAAGCTGCATGGGAAGTGGGCCAGGAACGCAGTGTTCTCCTAAAGTGCTGCTGATGTAGTAGATCAAGTTTCCTCTCCTCTCCTTTCCTCTCCTCTCCTCTCCTCTCCTCTCATATCTCCTCTCCTCTCCTCTCCTTTTATCCTCAAGTAGCTAACAGAGTCACACCAGTTTCTGAATTTCATACATAATCACCTAATGTAATCTTAGACAGTCACTGATGTTTTTGTGTTTGAGCATTTACAAACAGTGGGCCACTGTTCAACCTGATATCCATATCAGTCATCTTTAATGGTCACAAAGGAATATGGTATTTCTGTCCACACATCCTGTGTCAGAGACAAGTGCTAATGAGAATTTCAAACTAATGTTAACTATTACAAATTTATATATATAGAACTTTTGTCATCATCTATGTGTTAGCACCCATCTAACATTTATGTGGAGGTGTGTTTTTGGCCCACTGTGTAATGTAAGTTCAATATTCACTCTGCTCTTAGCGCTGGTTTTGTCTCCACCAAGCGAAGCTTTTTTCTTTTTTTTTATGCCTACTAGATGAAAGCTCTGAGGCTGATCTAAAACACAAAATTTGTGAGCTCTAAAACCAAAAGCAAACCAAAACAATGAGCTAAAACACTTCTCTGTGGGTTCTTCTTCACGTTCAGCCAGCCCGGGTCTTAAAGATGCAGGTCGTGGCTGGGTTCGGTTGCAGAACTACTCTTTTCCTGGGGTACAGTGTCAGGGATGTTCCCTGATCAACCCAAAACATGGCTAAGCCAAGAATTTGCCAATTTGCTACTGGCTGCCATTGTTGCAAATATCAATATGGAGGCAGCAGTGGTGCTGGCAGGACTATATTTCATAGTACGCACAAGAACCGCCTGTCTGCTACATTTAAGCTTCCCACACACGCACATATGTCTACTCATCAAACGAGCGAGCTATCGGGATGGAGAGAGAAAGAGAGAGAGAGAGAGAGAGAGATATTGATTTGTGTTTTTTTAGCGCCTAAAATACACCTAACCCTAACTCTGATTAGCTTACCACATGCATTTCAAAGACCATGCTCCACATCTGCAGTGTCAACACTGGGCATCAAAGCACCAAACTCTTCCTTTATCTCCCGCTCTTCTCTTGAATCTAGACTCGTAACATTAGTGAGTGGATGCTGCCAAGAAATAAGACAGGATCTCCTGTTGCCACCATATTATTTTCAGATGTTAAAAACAAACAAACAAATAAAATCATTTTTTTTTAAAAATGCACGCACAGTGTGTACAGAGTTACGGCTGCTGGCACCACTGGGAGGCAGTGGAAAGGAGAACTTCTGAACTGTTTCATTGTGTCTAGCTGTTGGTTTCAGTCAGCAACTCAGTGGACGGCAGCGACAAATTTACATTAGAAATCACAGAAATCAGTAGTCTTGCCTTCTGTGGACTGTGGAGTATTAAGCTGGGAGGGGGGTAGCTTGGAAATTGGAGTTTACAGGAAACCCACTCACGCTGATCAGTATTTGCTGTTTGATCCCCACCACCCACAAGAACACAAACTGGGAGTAATTATAACTCTTCACCATCGGGCTGAGAATCTGCCGACCACCGCTGAGACTGAGGACAAGGGTCGCAAACATTTCAGGAAAGCTCGGAAACCTTATCACAACCCGAGCTTGGTCTCAGCTGAAACACTGAAAATATAAAACTGGGCTGACATACAGAGCAGGCTCAGTGGTTATTCTATTCATGGCTGAAGTGACCGAGTTTTTTTGAGGGAAAGCAATAGAGGAGGGAGATGCATTTTAAAGAGGATGATAACCAGAATGTAAACTGACACACCAACTGGCCCCCTCACTCTGTAAACACTTCCTCTCCCTGGCTGAGTTTCCAACAGTCTGTCCGCATCCGGAAACAACAGATCCTGTTATGAGAGGGTCTCTGATGGTTGTTGTGATGCTATATAACATTAATAGCTCTGGACTGGATGTACTTTAGTGTCTGTATGCATGTATGTATGCGCGCGCATGTGTGTGTGAGTGTGTGTCATTGCTGTTTCCATGGCAGAGATTCACAAAGCTTTTCATTCTTGTCTCTCTCTTCTCTCCTCTCGCAACACCTCCCTGCATCACAGCTTTCAGACTCCTCCGCTCCTTGTCTCTCAGCTTTTTGATTGACATGCAGCAGCCTACTTCCCTCAACTGTGTCTTTTATGCCCCGTGGTTCTCTGCACTCTCTTCCTCTCTCATGTTTCCATTTTTAGGATGGCTCAATGATGTATCTATCTACTGTCTCTGACTTCCTCGACAAGTCAGAGTTTCCTTTTCATTCACTCGTATATGACTGCGAAAGCACAACCTGCAGCGCATGTGCAGCGCATGAATGCACGCTGAAGTTTTGATAATTCATTGCCATATTTATCCTTGAGTCATTTTTCCACTATTTTTTAAGAGAATAACAGTTCACCCAAGCAGCATTATCTGACATTCAGTTGTCAGAATTATTATTTTATTATACTGTAAGCATGCCGTTAATTGCCAGTATATGAACTTGGGGACCATTCCGGATGATAAAATAACTTTTTTTTAAGTTTTTAGTTGGCATTCTTGCCTTTGTTTGGATAGTGAAGTTAGAGACAGACAGGAAAGTCAACGAGAGAGAGAGGGGATGTCATGCAGCAAAGGGCCACGAGTTGGATTCAAACCCGTGGCCACTGCGGTTGGGGCTAAGCCCATGTGGTGCGCGCTCTACCAGGTGAGCCACCGAGGCGCCCCGATAAAATAACGGCTGAGCCAACACCAACTTCAAAACCAGAAGGGCTAATAGCAAACTGTTCTTGAGAAAGTTGAGGGGTTTCAGTGTTGACAGATCACTCTTGAAGTTTTTTAGAGTCAAGTTTAACTTCTGCAATGACTTTCTGTTGGTTCATTAACCTCAGCATGGTAAAACAAAAAATCAAAAGGATCATTGGCACTAACTTGAATGATCTTGGCCCTGTATATCAAGTTAGAGCCACTCGGAGGGCAAAGGTCATTTTGGCAGACCCTCATCATCTATGCAGAGTTTTGACTCCTGTCATCAGGGAGGAGGTAAACTTTCCATAAGAGGATCAAATCAAACAGATATTTGAGGTCATTTGTCCCATTAGCTGTTAATGTTTTAAACAAGTTGTATTTACATCCAGCTACTGCATGTTGTATCGATTTATGTCTCTATTTACTGTATTATTTCATTTTATGATGTGTATTGATTGTGTTTA